ATGATATTCTGTACCCGCAAAAAGGCCGGCTGTCACAAAACAGTCATATCTAGAGACCTCAAAAACTACTCTAGCGAGGCCTTTAACCTAGAACTGGAGAGCCTGGACTGGTCAGATGAGCTCAGTGGTACACAAGTTGAAGAAACATGGCTTGGTTTCAAAAACAAATTCTCTGCAATACTCAATGTTTTGGCCCCCCTAAGAACAACCAGGGTAAAAAATCGCTCTGAGCCGTGGATGCACTCCGGCATACTGACCGCCATGAAAACCAGAGACAAAAAATGCTCTGAGTTTCATAAAAGTCAGTCAATGCTTTCCAAAAGCACGAGCAGTGAACTCCAGGCCCACGTGACTGAACTAAAAATTGAAAGAAACAGACTAAGAAATGACGTAAGCTCCATGATCAAAACTGCCAAAAAGAATTTCATCAATGACAAAACTGAGGAAAACAAAAATAAACCCCAGGAACTTTGGAAATTACTCAATAACCAGCTTGGCTGCAGCAAAAAACTCAAAACGAGATTTGCAAACTTAAACATAAAGACAGATAACAGGCTCATCACAGACAAACTGGATGTGGCTAAGTACTTGAACATTTTTTTTCACAAACATAGCCACAACTCTTGTAAATAAATTACCCACCCACTCAGGGCTTTTTGGAGTAGATCACATCATGACCTACTACAAAAACCTAGGGGTACGCAAAGATGATTTCAGTCTAGCAAGGGTAACAACAGCAGAGGTACTCATTAAACTGAGCGCCCTCAAACCTAACAAGGCCACTGGCCACGACAATATCCCCTCCAAATTCCTCAGAGACACAGCAACCGCCATCTCACCAGTCATAGCTCACATAATTAACCTCTCCATAAAACAGGGAAAAGTACCCAAAGACTTCAAAATTGCAAGAGTAACCCCCCTGCACAAAAAGGGCAGCAAATTGGACCCAGGCAACTACCGCCCTGTTTCTATACTTACCTCCATCTCGAAAGTCATGGAAAAAATTGTATATGAACAGGTCGAAATGTACCTCGCGGAAAAGAAACTAATCTATGAATTTCAATCTGGCTTTAGAACATCCCACTCCACTGACACATGCCTTCTTTATTTGAACGACCACATCAAACAAGAGGTGGACGAGGGTAAATACTGCGGCATGGTGATGCTGGACCTACAAAAGGCTTTCGACACTGTCAATCACCCCATTCTGATTGACAAGCTAAAAGCAATTTGTTTTGATAAACTATCGGTGAGCTGGATGCAATCCTACCTGGAGGGGAGAGAACAGATGGTGGAGGTAAACGGTACTCTGTCCCCCCCCCCTCCCAGTGAGCTGTGGTGTTCCACAAGGAAGCATATTAGGTCCGTTACTGTTCCTAATTTATGCAAATGACATGTCATCAGCATGTGACTGCAACTTGTTCCTGTTCGCGGACGACTCAGCCCTGCTGGTCTCTGACAGGAGCAGATTGCAGGTTGAAAAAACCCTCAGCTCCGAGCTCGGCAGAATCTGCACCTGGCTCGCCGATAATAAATTATCATTACACCTGGGTAAAACAGAGTCCATTCTCTTCGGTTCGAAACATAATCTCAGCAAATCCGACGACTTCTCAGTTGCAGTGGGTGACATTATTGTCACTAGTAAGAAGGAAATTACATACCTAGGATCTATTCTTGAGGCAAACCTCTCCTGTGACAAAATGGCATCCAATGTAATAAAAAAAGTAAATCAAAGAACTAGATTCCTATACCGGATCTCCTCTCTGGTAAACAAAAGCACCCTGAAAACTCTGGCAGGAGCACTCATTCAAGGGTACTATGACTATGCTTGCACGTCATGGTACCATAGCACCTCCAAGGCGCTAAAAATAAAACTTCAAACATCGCAAAATAAACTGGTCAGACTACTGCTTGACCTTTCATCTAGAACCCACCTCACCTCTGCCCACTTTGACAACCTAGGATGGCTTAGAGTAGACGACAGAGTACAGCTACTTGCAATGGGCCTGGTCTACAAGATCCACTACACCTCTATGGTACCCATGTACATGTCAACATTCTTCCCAAAGGTCAAGGAATCATAACACCAGAGGGAGCTCCACAAATCATGTAAAACCCAGATTTGGCACAAAAAAGGGGGAATACACGTTTCGCAATTATGCCACATCAAGGTGGAACGCTCTTCCCACAACTGTAAAGGAAAGTAAAACTATACTTACCTTCAAAACCTCTCTTAAAGAGCACCTTCGGGGGAGAGCATTGCAAAACTGGCCCCGGTAATGGTACAAATCTCAACCTGTCGTACAATGGACAGCTTCCCCCCCCATCTACTGTATGTATATACTCACATTTTAGACTCTGTTACTAACTGTATATCTGTAGACTTGGTATGTCTTAAATGTCCGGTTAGGATGTATTAGAACGAAATCTAAAATGAAATTTGTAAATAAGCCATCTGTATGTAAAAAACCACCTGTATGTAAATTGTAAATAAGCCATCTGTATGTCAAATATGTCTTATATGTCTTAAATGATATGATGAATTGGAAATGGGGGACCCTGATGTAAACAAGACGAAAGTGGTCTGCATCCCCAGCTGTACTGTACTACCCAATATACAAGCTGTTAATAAACTTTTCAATCAATCAATCAATCAAGAGGAAACAACTTTAATGTGAGGTTTGGTTCAGGCAAGACAAAACAGAACTTCATATATCAAACACAAAGATCCAATAAAGGGTTGAGCATAACATCAAATCTTACATGTTAACGGATCTGATGAGGGGATGAAGTGCAAGTGGAGAGATGATTGTGGTGATTAAATAGGAGCCAGGCAGGGAGCTGATTGACAGGGGAAACTTGAACCAGGAGAGGAGCTGATTGGCTGGAAGGACTAATGAGGCTGCTTCAGAGGAGGTGTGTGGAGGGCAGAATTAAGTGAGCAGGGTAGGACTAATGAGCTGATGCATAGGTGTGTAGATGGAGCAAAATAAGGGAAATGCTGCCCAGTAACACAAATGGAAAAATACAGCATATAGAAAAAGTCCAATAAAAAGGCTAAAGGACAAATGGCCTCACCGTGACAGTTTCCAAGGGACACTTAAAAGTGATGCACATTACATACAATACATTGCATTTACGATCATCAAACTGATGTACATTTTTCTTTATTTGCTTTTTCATTCTTAATTTGCAGAGCACTGAACTCTCATCCTACCGAAATGCTTGTTACTGTAGTTGAAGACTTATTTTCTCAACCTTTTTCTTACATCGCTACGTCCTGAAGCAATATCGCCAACAAATCACAATAAATAAAGTACGAAAATAAAATCCGGAAAATGTCAAACGCACATGTGTATCAATGGGCCTGAAAACAATAGGGACCCATTCTCAAGAACAATGCTCCATAGTGTTAACCATTTTCCAGCTTTAAGGTTTTGGCACAAACACATCATGCACTGTAGCTTGCCAATTATTGACCAAAAAACATTATAATAACAAATAATAACACACAGAAAAAAGAAAGGATCCTGTAATGATGATAAATATGATGCGTTAACACAAGGGTTTTCATCAAATTAGGTTTTTAACAATCATAGGAATCAGATATATGCACTCATGTTCTCACTTACATGTTCCTGTTCCCGTATCACCACTCTTCACTTAGCAAAGTACATGTTGAGGTAACAATGAGGTTTTAGATGTAACTGCATGTGGTGAAATGGTCAAAACACACACACAAGTTCAATTTTACAATAATGCCATACATTAGTCACACTGCTATTGCCTTTATAATATAGGCACAGCAATAATACAAGAACACGTTCCTCCTGAATGCAGAGGCTTGCTCACAGTCAGAACACCCGCTGAAAAGTTGGTCGCCATGTTGTGTTAGTCAAGAACCTGAACGTTTTCTGAGTGGTTCTGAAAGGCTATGCAATATTTTACGTTATATGATGCTCTGCTTTAGATGAGGCAGACTTCTTCTTTTCCAGAACCCTACAATTAAAGGTGAATACATCAGCAGTTATTATGCTAATATATGTAACTTTCTTATTTTTTGACAGTGTTTTAACGTGCCCTGCGAGAATACAGAGGGCACATGGAGGCTTTCTAAATGCTCCCGAGACCCTCCTCCCCAGCCGCTGCTTGTCACAGCCGTCAACCCAGCGCTTTTGCCTCGAGGCACTAGAACATGCACTTTGTCTAGAGGAAGCTGACAAAATCCTCCTCAAACTCCTTTGCACATCAGCCTTGAGGGTTGTTCTGTTCTAATCATGTCAAAAGGTTGCCTTCTTTCTATCTGAAACAACCAAAAACGTAACTTTTTTAGCAGGAGAAATGTTTTGTACCCTTCTGAATAACAGCCCGTTTCAAACTGCACCACTCTGACATTCATTAAATCTCTCAAGTATATCGTTACCTGCAAAGATCATTTGTAATAGGAGTCATCCTATTTTAAAAAACACAATCAAAGCATCGACACCAACATCTCATGCTTTACATTAAAAGCATTTAACTGGCAAAACATAAAGTGGCTGTAATTGTGAGGAGGTCACAGGAAACACGTCCAACTTAACCAATCTGACGATGCCCTGTTTTAGTTTGAAACATTAAGCTACTGTGTAACATGAAAACAGATTGTGGTTGCATATTTTCCGACCAACTTCTTTATTAAAACAATGTGACTATTTGGCTGTTCTCTCCTGTTGTATTTTTGACAAAGAAGCATTGTAAACTGCACTGAAAGATGGTAACAAAGGCTGTTGTAAAATCAACCACTGGCATCGTCATTTATTTTTAAATAATAATAACGTTTTTATAATCACAATTTCAGGGCCTCTCTTTGCTCCATACATCATGATAAACATTCACAATAGACATTCAAAAAGATTCATGATGCAAAATGTTGCAGAGGTTTACATTCACTTGGAACAGATATACATAGAGGCATGTTTTTCATTGTCCTTGCAGTGCAACGCAGCAGACTCACGCAGTCTCTATAACTGGGATAACTTGTCCAGGTCCTCTATGGTCAGGTCCTGGCCTTTGATACGACTTCTAGCAGACAAGCTGCCCCCTTCCGAGCATTTCCCATTCTCCACTAACCCTGATCTGACTTCAGAGCCCACCCTCCTGTGGACCGCGGGCTGGACGGGGAGCACGGGGAGCACGGCGTTCCCTCTGATCCGATTGGAGTAGCTCCTCTGGTGCCTGAAGCCCTCGGAGCAAAGCTGGAACTTGAAAGCCGCCTGAAAGCCCCTGCGAAAGTTCTTGTTGAAGAACCCGTAGATGATGGGGTTGACGCTGCTGTTGAAGAAGGCCAACCAGTGAGCTAAGGGGTACACGTAGATGTTGATGACGCGGTACTGGTGCTCCGTCAGGCTGGCGTAGTCGCTCAGCATCATCAGCGTCCACAGAGGGAGCCAGGACAGGATGAAGATCAGAGCCACGACCAGCAGCATCATGATCACTCGGTTCTTTTTCTTCGTAATCGTGAGGCGGCCCTCCATGCTGGGTTTGTTGTTGCCCCCGCCCTCTTCGGACACACTCACACTGCCGGTCATCTTAGGGATGGTGACCTTGCAGAGGGTGTAGCCGATGCGGGCGTACATGACCACGATAAGGCTGAGGGGAGCCAGGTAAATGTTAGCGAAGAGCACAGTGGTGTAGATTTTCCTCATCTCCTGGTTGGGCCAATTTTCTCGGCACCAGTAGAAGGGGCTGGTGTCGTTGCTTCCGAGAACAATTCGCACCCTCTGCTCCTTTGTGGCCTGGAGCATGACCCCAGAGGGACACATGATGAACACAGCCAGGACCCATATGATGACGATGATTAGCTTCGAGGTGGAAATGGTCATCTTGTGCTTGAAAGGGTAGACAATGCAGCGGAACCTGGCGCAGAGGGAATTGCCGGGAAATGCATCAAGAGAAAGAAGTGGGCAAGGAGCACATAATATTTGCAATTAATACAAATACAACCCTCACCTGTCAACAGCTATAGCAACGAGAGTGAACACAGACGCTGACACGGAAATCCCTTGAACCATACCGCTCAGCTTACACACCACGCTGCCAAATGGCCATCCTGCAGAGAAGAGAAACACAAGTGTAAACAGATTAAGAGAACCAGACTGCATGAATATTTTTAAATGTACTTAATACCAAAGATTAGACGGTCTTTTGTGTACTTTTGAAACGGAATATTCATGATTTTCAAACTAAAGCCATTGCTGAAGTTAAATGTATAAAATTTATAAAGAAGATTTGAATCAGGGATGTTATTAAAGAGGCCCTATTATGGTTGTCCCTTTCCTGTAGTGTGTTATATAGGTTTCAGTGCATGCAAATGGTCTGCAAAGGCTAAAATCCCTGTGTTCCCTCCAGAGGGAGTTTCTCTCCCACACACTCCCTCCCCCCTCCTGCCTGAAATGCCTCCATTTGATTTATTCTGGAACAATGTGACACTCTTGCTTCATTGGTTAGTGCTCCAACACCTTGGACTTGATAGGCTAGGTGGCGGGACGTATCTACGTAAGCGGTTGATCACAACAGAGATGGTCAGCCAACCAATCAGATCAGACTGGGCTCTGGTTTCAGACAGAGGGTGAAAAGAGGTGCTGCAGCACAGCCAGTATGAGAAAGAAAAAGAGCTTTTTGAACATTAAAGCATGGAGACATGTCCCAGTAGAGACAGTACATACTGATATGAAGCTGGAAATGAGCAGAATATTTCCTCTTTCAAGAGAGAACAAGTTTAACTTCCACATCACTGACCTGTGATGATGTTGTCCACCAGAGTGGTTGGCATGCAAAAGATGCCAACCAGCAGGTCACTGATGGCCAGGTTGAGGATAAACAGGTTGGTGACCGTGCGCATGTTCTTGTTGCGCATCACGATGAAACACACCACCACGTTACCCATAATGCACACCAGGAAGATGAGGAGGTAGGAGACGGTGAAGATCGCAGCCACCGAGGGCGTGTGGAGGTATAAATCCACAAAGGTGATGTTCTGGTAGCTGGAAGGGTTTTCCTTCAATCTGGAGGAATTGGAGGGGTTCAATCCCTCCCAGGTAGTGTTGAGTAGTAGATTCTGGGTCATGGTGGTATCTGGGTGTATAAAAACATGGTATAAAACATGGATTATCTATTATGTGCTCGCCATTTTAGTGCATTTGTTCTGGGTTAAGCATCTAATATCTTCTGTTAACAAGATTAACCAATTACAAAAGAAGAACACCATCCTCCCAATTTGAGTGAAATCAGGCAGACCAGAAGAAGGAATCTATTGGTAATAACATTAAACTGTAGAACCTATCCAGAAATCAATAGTCCTATTCTTGTGTCTCCTGATTATTGTGAGTGGGTTGATTCAGTCAAGTGTATGCTCTCTCACACTCTCTAATAACAACGTGCTCACCAAAATGACCGATCTCTTCTGAAAACAGTGGGAGAGTGGTTGCTTGCCGATTGCTTGCTTCAATCACCCACCTCCAGCTTTCAGGGATTGAATTCGATTTATTTTTGACAAGCATGTGATATATATCATAATATATATATATTTCACACATCTTGGGTTGGACTTCCTCTCGGAAATCTTTTGCAAGATTAAGTTTGTTCCTTCTGCAAATTCAATTTAATAAAGCTAGTGTGTTTTTTATTTGATGTATTCATATCCTACAGTTCAACATGTACAGTGCAACTAAAGGATTATCAAATCAAAGTGTGACATTTTTTCTTGGTTATAAATAGATCAAAGTAGGCCGGGATAACACGTTATAAATATGTAATTGATGTTATGTGATGAATAAATAATTACTATTTGAATAAACAATTGCACGCTCATGCTCCATTTCATATTTACACCAAATTCCACACTTTAAATTAAGTGTATTTTTTTCTCGTAACATCAAATTCATTTTCAGAAGAAAAAACAAAGGTCTGTGCCACAATACAGTTTAACTGAGATTCACTTCACAAACATTTTCTTTTCTTTTTCTCACCCTTCAAGCCTTCATAGGATAATATTTGAATAAAGCTGCAGGCCTAGTTCAGTTCCTTGTTAATTCACTCACATTAATCATACAGCTCATTATACTGTAGCATGCATGTAACAAGAATATAATTAACTGAGTCCATCAAAATCTAAACCTCAGTGGCTGAGAGGAGACCAGTGTGTTTGTGGTTAAATCTGTAGAGCTTTGGGGAAAACACGGGTTGTTTTCCTTGAATCTGTTTGTTCCACATTACATGGATGACTGAGAATATGTTAGGTTTCAATTCCCAAATCCTTTGAAAACATCCAGGACAAAATATCAATCCCTGGAGATCCATAGTTGAACTGATAATCAATATGCCTCAAGATACAATGAAAATAGACAGTTTTATCTCATCAAGTTAAGTTATGATGCTTTTAAAAGTCATGCCTGGCGGGTAGCATTTCATATTCTGAACAGTGCCTTATGATAACTGAAGGAAAACGTGTTTTGTTTCTAACAAAAGTGCAGTCATACAATCTTAAAATCTTCACAAGTAACCAATAAAAGAACATTCTATTGTTTAATTTATGCCAGAGGAAGTTGATCTTGCTATAAAAAAAAGTTTCCTGAATAATGTTATAATAAAAACATCTTACCTTAGAGAAAACAGTATATGCAGTATCACTTCTTCTGTATTTAAATGTGCTACATGTCCAGATAGTGCCCTCACTCAGAGTGTGAAGCTGCACTTGTCCTCTCAATGTGAGAGCCTAGCTGCCGCTCAGAGAGAGACTGCTGTGGTGCTCATGGATGAGACGGAGGAGATGAGATTCACTCCGGAGAGATGGGCTGGGAGCGATGCATGTCCGGGGGTTTAGTGTGAGCCGCATGAACAGTTCTCATATACAGAATGATCTACCTCTGAGGGGCAGAAAAAAAGGTGTTGAGAAATGACGTATCTCGTCTTGGATCAACCCTCTAGCTGTCAAGCACCAACCCTCTTCAGATCAACACTCTCACTGCTTAAATGAAGAAACTGTGAAATCCTAGGGGTGTAGAAGTCTCTGCAACTGCACCTGACTCAATCACAGTGCAGCATTTTAATGGGTTTAACGCTCCTGTTGTCTTCGGGTCAAATCTGACCGATTTACTACTTTCATCAATCATAACTTTTTGGTTTTACATTCGATTGCATTAAGGCTTCATGATATCCTTCACAGTAGACATTTGAACATATACAATTGCTGATCACCACTTTCATTGCATTTTGGACGATTTAGTCAACTTTGTAACACCCATGGTGTTCCCGCTCAAAAATGACCGCCATAAAGAAAAGGAATTAGTAACCATCCGGATCAGATAAAACACACACACACACACACACACACACACACACACACACACACACACACACACACACACACACACACACACACACACACACACACACACACACACACACACACACACACACACACACACACAGAACAATTTGACACATGTCCCGCTCTTATGTGCCCCTCCCCCCACATGGATCACACCTGGCACACGCAATACATGTTCAGTGTCTGTTCTTTGTATATTTACTGCAGTTGTTCATGTATACCAGTAGTCTGATACAATATGTACAGTTTGAAAGGGTGTTAAATGACATTTGGTGATGATTAATGGTTTTTGTGTTAATGTAATAGCAGTTAAAACAGGACCGGTCAAATTTGACCGCGAAAACCAAAGTAAGGGGGGGAAAACGAAGACAATAGGAGGGTTAAGGTACATCATGGCTTTAGTACTATTATGAATGCATGTGGCAGCACAGCCCACAAATCACAGTGGGAAGAGCTGCAAAAAAGCACACACAATATATCAAACTCATGCATGATTAATGGCTTGTTTGAAAGAAAATTGATAAAAACAGAGAGATGAATGGTTTGAAGCAGAGGTGAGATTTAATGAGAGGTCAGCATCTGGGTGAAACAGGAGATGAGAGAGGGAGACTGATGAAGGACGACACCTGTGGCACACATGTGGAGAAGGTGGAGAAGGAGGGTTGGTGATAAGTGGATGGATGATCCTTCACATGAAGAGAAATGATAGAACAAGTGAGTAAAGATCACTTTTCCAAAAAGACTGCAATATATGAACTCTGAACAAAAACAGCGTGCGTGCGTGCGTGCGTGCGTGCGTGCGTGCGTGCGTGCGTGCGGGCGTGCGTGCGTGCGTGCGTGCGTGCGTGCGTGCGTGCGTGCATGCGGGCGTGCGGGCGTGCGTGCGTGTGAGGACATGCAAAAGGAGTAGAAAGCTCCGATCAAAAACTCATTGTATGCTCAGTTTTATTTGGCTAAACATATTGTTAAACATTCAAATCTGTAACCTGACATCTGCAATTGAAATTGAGGGAGAGTGAATGATCTGAAAGCATTTAAACATGAGTAAAGTAAAATAAAAATGTCCATTGAGGGATTACATTACCCCCTTCCACATCCTCTTTTTCCCCTTTGGCTATTTGGTAATTCACCATTTCCAACAGAGCTCTTTATCCTTCCATGGCTGCCTGCATTCATACCTCTAGGCTACATTTCTCCTTTGTGTCCTATTATATGCACGGTAAAATCAAATGCTGATGTCCTATACGTTGTTTCTTAATCAATATTCATTTCACCTGCCTGACCTCTATGGGAGCTGGGATGAATGATGGTTGATGTTGATCTCTAATGTCTTATCAACAGTGTTTTGGACAAAACATATACTGTATAATGTGTCATATGTTTTGTATAAACATAGAAAAAGTAACTTCTAACTTCTGCAAATAAATAAAAATGCTGTATTTGGCTTTTTACAAAATGAAACGCATTATTGTATGAACTTAATGTATGTATGATATTAGCATTGCCCTGCAGATAAGACACATTCCAATAAATAATTCATACTTTTTAATTCCACCACCCAACTTCACAGCAAATGGAAAACAATGGTGCTTTGTGCAACACTAACACAAATAAACTGAGGGGGAATGAGAGACAGGGACTGAATACATTCAAAAACTCTCTAGAGAATATCAGGGGGATTTCAAACATGAATTAGCATCGTCTCCCTGCTAAAACATTTAAAACAACATCCTTGCATATCTAATGTCATTATGTGGAAACCCTAAACCCATGCTGCAAAGAGAGAGACATTTTCTTTTTATATCTCCAAAGGTGAAAGACAGCAGATTTGCAGCACGTGTGTACAAATACAAATCTAAACACAGTCATTGACATATCAATTGTGCACCGTGCAAGTGAATACAAGTGCACGGCTTTGTATTGTAACTGTAGATCAGCACAAAAGTCCATGTCAGCTAGAACTTGGGGTATTTGATACAACATGTACATTACAGTATCCATGCAAACAGATGCATTTGGGCTCATCAACTACATTGCAGCGTTGCCTCGGAGCAGGAAAGTCATTACCTTAAACTGCCGCCCGCCTCCTCCCCATCCTCCTCCTTTCATCATATCCAGTGCCAGGAGAGCTAATCCAAAGACCTCATCACACCTCCTCTTCATCCCATCTCCTCACCAAATCCAGATCCTCAGCATCATCACCCCTGCTCTAGAGTGACCCTGGGGGGGTTTCATATACGCTCACGGCTGCATTTCGCCCTTTAGATATACGATTTCAGGATCGGGGTCTAATCGCCAAAGACTTAACATTTATCATATGGCATGTGTCAATAAATGTTCTTTAAACAAAATGAAGTCTCTCCTGATTGAACTAAAGACAGTGGTTTGACCAACTCTCCCTATTCTTATAACACATCCATGATTGCATGTCTGGCCACTTGAGAAAACTTTTACTGACAGAATGGCCGTACACCCAGAGGGAAAACCATACTGTATAAAAACACACTAATGGCTCCCCTCGAAAAGTGACACAGTGAGCGGAATCTGAACCGAAAATCAAAGGATATTGTTATTGTGAGGAGTGTGTCATTAAAAGGGATCTACAGCGTGTGGAGAGGTCAGTGCTTTGTCAGGTAATTATGAGTGTTGAGAAAGAGCTCTGCAGAACATCTAGTCCTGGCATAAGTTGATGGTTCCCCAAACTTTCCACATCTTACCTTAGATGTTCATGGATGTGC